TACTTTTTACTCCCCAGAGATTAAAGGATGCACTTTACTCCCGCTACTTGAGGCTATATTGACATATTTTTAGAGCAAGAGAAGTGAAAAATGTATAAATATCATGGCAGTACCATGACATTCAATAAAATAAACACCTGTGTAATAAGTTTTCAATTCTTTGCAGGTGTAGACGCGTTCCGTCCGGACATGATATCAGAGACGGTCCTCCGTCGCCTGCTGAAGCAGGACGTCATCCAACACATCAAGTTACGCGGCGACGAAGACAAGAACGACCCGAAGAGATACGTCTTCTCGGAAGGCAAGCCGGTAATGACTTTGATAATGTAATAATATTCATTTATTCTCCTCCATTAACATACACAGACTGGTGCCCAAGCTAGATAGACCCTGTGTCTTGGAACACCAGGTCTCCGATATATAACATTATTTATCAATTTAACTGCCTTCGTGGAAGAACGGTTACCATGCCGTTACTGCCACGCAGAAGTCCCAGGTTTGATTCCCAGGCCTGGAGAAATATTTATATAGCCATTTATGTTTCTCGTGAGTTTGGGTGTAATTTATGGTTGTCTATTTTATTATTTATTATTATTTCACATGAATTACATAGTTACTTGAAAAAAAAATTTAATAAAAAAAGAATTAAAAATACTATGAATTAGGGTTGATATTCCTAAAACGGGTTTAAGTGCACAACAAAAAAAAATGTAATTAAATAATAATTTAAAAAAATAGCAAAAACATTAAATTACTCCGACTAGTAACATGACTGTTTGTTGCGGAAGTGTTGCCCGCTTGCGAGCAGCTAGTGATTGTAGTCGATAAATATTCTATCGACTATCGATTAAATATTGGTCATGTTTATGGAATGAATAGCCGAACTTGTTTCATTTGAATCATCCTCGACCCCATTATTCATCCAATGACTCCAGCACCAGTGATTTGAACTGTCAATTTTTGCAAGTTCCTACATACATACACACCTACATAGTATTTAGAACTGTGTTTAGGAAAAATGCAAAGAGGAGATATATTTGAAAGATTTTGATTTTAATTCAATATAGATAATCAAATTCGGCTATTCTTGTTAAAAAATAATAGACCAACCATTGACTTACAAATAAATGGACGACGGGTCTAATACAAAAACCACGAAAAAAATGTCCCAAGTCAACCTATTTAAACGTAGTGACATGTAAAGGAATATGAAAAAGCTAAAACGTTGAATGTAAATTGTAATGTCATCGCAGTACTGTCTAATTCTGTTTGCTTCGCTGTCAGTCGAACAAACGAAGACTAAAGCGTGAATGACGCTCTGTATACGATTTTAACGCCCTATAAGTTCGGACACTTTTTAGCGCGGACCCGACGTCCATATAATTGTAAGTCAATGAGACCAACTGTCAAAATAAGATTACGTCGTAACGTTCACAATTCAGTAATTTTTGGCAAAATTTTATTTTCTATCCCAATCTATCTATAAAACTATCGACAACAACTACATAACTATTTAAAATTTTATGAAAACTGGCAATCCTACAAATGTCATTTTACTCTGTCTTCAAAAAAGACACTAAAGTCATTAGAAGTACCACATTGCAATGGTTTATGTATTGACAGTCAAAGCGTTCAGCAAATGTCTTTAGCAGGGGTGGCTCGTCCTAAGGAGCGATGGTGCACTGAACTCCCACTCCTATCCAATCCACCAAATTAAAATTAGTAGTCGCAATATTTCTTTTTTCATTAATGAACGACAAACATCAATTACATTTTTATCTGTCTCTCTTATAGTATAGCATTACTAACCCTTGAGTGAATGACTAACCTATGAACCGACATTGTTTACGAAGTTCAGTTCTGAATTCAATGAGTGCGAAAGAGAAATTACGGCGCGACACGTGAAACAAAAGATTAGTATGAGAAAATTAGTAAGATTTGAATGATGGTACGACGACTACCTGATTCTGCACTCCGCCTCCATGCGCTGTTGCCAGTGTTAAGAGATATAAGAATTTACTATCATGAACAGTAATGGGAAGTGCGTTACAAAGTCCGCATTGAAGAATAAGGATTTGTATGGGAGTTCGCCATTGTTCTTTCCTATGTGTTTTGTTGATAATAGTTTTATTGTTGTAACTTTTTCCACAGGTGGACTACTTCGTTCTGATCCTGGAGGGCCGTGTAGAAGTGACAGTTGGCCGCGAAAACCTGGTCTTCGAAGCTGGTCCGTTCACTTACTTCGGCGTGCAGGCGCTTACACAGAACGTTGGCTTGGGTAAGTATCATTATTTAGAAAACGGTATTTAGACGACTGACGGCCTCCGTGGTCGAGTGTCGCCATCTTTGAGGTCCCGGGTTCGATCCCCAGTCGAATCAGTGTAGAAAATTAACTTTCGCACATTGTCTCGGGTCTGGGTGTTTGTGGTATCATAACAACGTATGTGATGTCTAAATGGCTTTGGTTTGTGGAGGTGCTGCTGGTGCTGGGGGCGTTCTGGGGGATTGTAAAGGTGTGTAGCCTGGATAGCAGTAATAGCCTCCGCAGCCTCGCAGCCTCCAACATCTTATTTAGTAAATTTAGCAATTCAAACGTTGAAAGTCCAGTTTATAGATATTTAATCGGTTTATTTATTCGGTTTTAACAAATCGACCCCTCCGACGTAAAGTATCGTATGTCGAAATTGCCAAGTTTACAGAGGAGCTTTTTAAATATTCTGAATTCACTGAAATAAGCACAACACGTGACTTTAGCATTTCACAGTTTTATTCGACAAAGCTCGTTACTCACATAGCGTATTATAAAATCCTAGATATCGGTTAGATGGTGTATTAGATGATCACTCTATTTGACTAACGAGCTTTGCCGAATAAAATGGAGAACTTTAAAATGCCTCCCTGTAAACTTGGCAATTTCGACATATGATACTTTACGTAGGTGGGGTCGAAATATAATCTTTAAAATGTAAACTGTATAAATATAGCTAGTAAACGATTCAAAAAGATAAATAATGGTATGTTCGCTACCGCGGTCGCGCAGAGAGTGACGATGGAAAGAAAGAAAATCAGAATGCGAGGTAAAATGGAACAATTTTAAATTTAAATATGAGTAGAAGAAGAAAAAACGATACGATACGAATGGAGAGAGGCGATACAAAAAGGTGGGATGACGGTATAAGGAGGTCACACCGTCACAGGTTGATTCCGCATGAGAATGAAAATGTTGAATCAATCAGTTAGGAGAAAATATATACTAAAATTGAGGATATGCACTGATTACTATACAGCATGAAAATACATGCCTAAAAGTATACACTACACCAAATTTACACCGTAGAAAAATAACACAAACTTAACTCGAAATTTTACAAGATAACCGCTGTATTAAATAGGTACTTTAAAACTAAATATAATATAGCTAGAAAAAGGATTCGAAATTAGAAAAAAAGAGAACATCTAACAAAATTTTAACGAACTTTTATTAAATTTACAAATTATTGTTTTCTTAAGCCTCAACGAACGAAGTATCTTTCAGTACAAGATGTCTTACCGTGCTTACGCAATTGCTCACAACACTTTATCAAATAAAATCACATTAGAATCAAAATAGTAACAAGTAACAAAATACATAAGAAAATCGTTAACAAATGGCTCACGTCACCGATGATATCCGAGCGGGCGCCGACAATCAAATGCCTCGCTCTTGGACCTGTTCTGCTTTTATAACGTGGTGAAGGACGGTGCACAGCCGAGATGTACAGCTTACAATAATATAATTTTAAAACAGAACGCGTATTTTTTAAATGGCTTAAATTTCGTTTGTAAAAAAAATCTATTCTGAAATAAAGCGAGTGTCAAAAATTTTAATTCGAGGTGAGGTAGTATCAACTCTTAAAGGTCCCGGATTTGATTTCTGAGTCGGGAGAAATATTTGTATGCGAGAGAAATGTTGTGGTTGTCTGTGTGTGTGTCCGTGGCACCCTCGACACAGGGTTTCCCTAGTGCGGGGCTATGTTGAGTGTGTGCGTGTGCGTTATTATATCAAGTGACGAGACGAATAAACTGTGCGCAAGCGCAAGCGACACGCCACTCAGAGCTTTAAATCGCAAAGATCTAAGGGACACTGCCACTGCGCCCATCATCCTGCGACATAAGTTGACAAGTCCCATGTGCATGTAATTTCACCAACACCTTAAACCGGAACGCAGTAATGCTCACATTACTGCTTGGCGGCAGAAACAGGTAAGGTGGCAGTACTACCCTGGTCGAGCTCTTTCACAAGAAGCTGTACTGCTACTGAAGTTAATTACGCAACACCTGCGTGACATCCCGGTATATTTATTGTTATAAGTAATTTGTATGCCATGAAACCTAACAATGCTTCTTTTACAGCTGAAACTCCAGCCCCCTCGACCATGGGTTCTCTCCAGAACCTGAACATGGACTCAATGCTGCGTCACACCTTCGTGCCAGATTACAGCGTCAGGGCTATCGCCGAGTTGTACTACATAACAATCACAAGGTATCTTATCTAGTATATAAGCAGTAAAACATAAATTTAAAAAACCCCATACACAACTGTGAACTCTAAATAACCCCTCTTTTTGCGTAATTAGTAAAAGCAATTTATTTAGCCAGTGAATAATGAACAATTTTTTGTCAACAAGATATTTAATTTTTTTTTAAAAAAACCGACCTCAAAAGTTCGTAGAATTACATCTGTTTTCCAAGTTTTATTGAAATCTGTTACCGGAATGTGTGCGAAACCGGATACATCCCCTAGTTTGCAACCCTTAGAGGTGGAATATTATCTCAAATTTAAATGGGACCACAACTGAGTTACCCTCTTTCTAACAAAAAAGAATCATCAAACTCAGTGTACAAATGCCCGAGAAATCGCGTAACACATTCATTAAAAAAAAATCCAAATGATAACCTCATTCTTGTTCGAAGTCGGTTAAAACCTATTGACTTTTCCTAGTTAAATAACAAACACTATTTCTCAACAAGATATTTAATTGAAATATATCAATAAATGTTAATTTTTTTGAAAGCATACAACACAGCACCTCTGTATTGCTGACATTACTGCTTGGGGGCAGAAATAGGTAAGGCGGCAGTACTTCCCTGGACGAATGAACCAATTTAGAAAACATTTATGCCACTCCTCCGTGACAATCTCTGAAATATACTTTTCATACTCTTCGACAGCCTCTTCAGGTGATGAAAATCGTTGACCGCGTAACTGGTTCTTAATTTTTGGAAATAAATAAAAGTCACTAGGTGCTAGGTCGGGACTGTACGCGGGATGGCTTATAAGGTCAACGTTGTTCACCTTAAAAAATTCATTTATCTGTCTGGTCGTGTGAGAACTGGCATTATCGTGGTGCAAGATGATACGGCGTTTACGGTTATTTTTGTGGAGTTTGTCAATAACCAACCAATTTCTAAAAATGTCACCACAATGTAAAAACAAGTGACAGTCAGATGAAACAAACTGTATTCTACAGCCAGAGTTCCATTTTCAAATGTAATTACAAATTACTTTTTAAATATTGTTTATGTAAGTGGCCAGTTCCGGAAACTTATAGTGCGCCCTATGTAATGGTGGATTTATATAACCTAAAAACATCTCACGCGTTTTAATGCCTAATTATGTACAGTTACATACACTGCTTTATCTATACACATTATAAGCTCTCTGTGATGTGTTCAGGAACCGCATGTTACGACTGGCGAAATGGCGGCAAATAAAAACTTTTCTCACGCATGTCACGCAACCGTAGTTTTTATTTTTAATTCATAGACAACCTAGAGTCGATCTCAACTATCATCGTTCGATATCAATTAACGTGTGAGATTTGTCAAAATTGTTTGCTATTGACATTTCATTTCGAATAAAACTTCATCTCGACCATAGATTTAGCATATCCATAGATTGGTCTTGAAGTATTGGAGACGAGACCAAAACAAAGATACATCTGTTACGCACACAGTAATGTGCATGTGTGCAAGATAAATAGTGTTGCGCCATCCACTGATTTAACTTTAATATCGATTAACATTTTACACCGGATTCTAACAGCAAATATAGGTTTATTCGCACATTAGTGAGAGATTTAAGGATAATTTCTGCATTTTTTTCAAAACTTTAGGCTCAGTAGTTTTGAAGATAAAGGGGAGAATGACCAAATTTCTTCTATTTTCTTAAACAACTTAAAAATATTTATATTTCAAAACTACAAAAAATATATACTTGAAAACCAGAATGTAGCTTTACTCTTTGCTTGCCTCTAAAGGTAAAGCATTTTTCCTCAAAGTGTTTGCTGCATATTTTTGAAAACTTTTTGGGAACCCAGTCTTCTCTCTTTAGCATTATAAGCCATTTCTGTCGTACTTCAATGTTTTGAGGAAATTTGAATCAACTACAATAATTAACATAAAAAAATTGGGTGCCTCAATTACGCTTTTAAAAGAAATTTTCGTTTTAATGTAGACAAAAAATAATGCACTAATGCAATATTAATTAAATATAAAGTACTAAAACCAAAAATTTCTGATAATATTAAGTATGAAGATGATTTCGGCTGTATGCAAGCCACGCCTTTGCCTTTCTTTTTTTCAGTTAATGACATCTCGATAACATATTATCGATTGCGTCAATCTCTATGAAAGTGGGGTTATGAATTTCAGAAATTCACGTATTTGATATATTTTTTAATTGAATTCGTATACATTTGGGTTATTAATGCACTTGAATGGTATAATTTTATTTTACGGATATATTTAAGTAAAAAACTTTTGTGGTAATGCTTTTAGACAGCTAAAAATTTAAATAGTACTTACATATGAAATGTACTATTGTGCGAGTTTTCCTTGTTAGGTGAGTTACATCCGGGCACTGAACACGTTACCATGACTAATAAAAGTCCGTTTAACACTATTTCACATTTTAAACCCAATTATTTTTCAAAAATAAACGAAATTTGTTTCGTTGTAAGATGCCCCTAGGTTCATACAGGCTCGTAGCGTATAATGAAGTGGTCTCGTCTACCCATCTCGCTCTAACATACGTCTATACTAACGCTCTTTCACTTGCATTGCCAATCTATGGGTACCTATCATTGACTTACAATTATATGGACGTCGGGTCCGCGCTAAAAAGTGTCCGAAATTATAGGGCGTTAAAATCGTAGACAGAGCGTCATTCACGCTTTAGTCTTCGTTTGTTTCTTCTGACAGCGAAGCAAGCAAAATTAGACAGTACTGCGATGACATTACAATTTAAATTCAACGTTTTAGCTTTTTCATATTCCTTTACATGTCACTACGTCGTGGTTTTTGTATTAGACCCGTCGTCCATTTATTTGTAAGTCAATGGTACCTATACTAAATCTATGATTTCGACTGATATTAGAATTGAGGTCGAAACAAATTGTTTTGTTTTTCAGAGATATTCGAAATTTGAATGTAATTATAAAATGGAATTTGATGTTATTAACATTTTCACAAATAAGAAATTTGTTCTAACAAAACAGTTTATCTTTACGCTGGTCGTAATTTGCGATTTTTGAACACATCATAGAGGGTTTATGATATGTATGTAGATAAATAAATAAATATATTTAAAACACAAACGTCACGCAATGTAATTTCGAGAATTTCAGTTTTGTTACTTCGGTGGACCCTGATGTTTTTTTATCATATTCTCAGGTCCATGTACTTGGCGGCCAAACGCGCCACGTTGATGGAGAAGGGTGCGTTGAACAAGGGCAACACAAATGAACAAATCGATACCGAAGTTGATAAGGTGAGTCTAGACTTGAATAGCAATTCCAGAAAATCCGATGAAAATGAAGCAAAGCAAATTCCGATACAATTGAACTATTTATTCTTAAATAACAAAAATAACATTTGCACATTAGACACTTTGTATAATAATAATAAATCATTTATTTCGACCAACATGAGTCATACATTACAAACATTTAATACAATAATTTGACTCAGAAATAAAAAATAAAAAATAAATAAAATAAAATTACAATTTTAGAATACTATTTCAGATTTAGAGTCTGTCTTTTTTTAAGACGGAGTAAAATTACAGTTCATAGCGCAATAGCGTTGCCCACTTCCAAGCAGCTAGTGATTGCAGTCGATAAATATTCTATCGACTGTCGACTGAATATTGGTCACGTTTACAGAATAAATAGCCGAACTTGTTTCATTTGAATCATCCAATTACTGGGCACAACTTCATTTGAATAGTCAATTTTTGTAAGTTCTTACATACATACACTGTATGTATGAACTATGTTTATGAAAAATAAAAAGAGGACATATTTTAGTTAATTAACTAATAATTAATTCAACATAGATAATCAAATCCGGCTATTCTTGTTAAAATGTGAATAAATAAAAATTGATCTCGATACTAGAAGGCCAACTGTCAAAATAAGAATAAAGACGGCAAAAACTCAATTCGTAATCATTAAAACGTGGGAACATTTACAAGTCATTTTTGGCAAAATTTTAGCTTGTTTCACAATCTATCGATAAAGCTATCGACAACAACTACATAACTATTAAAATTTTTATGAAAACTGGCAACCCTACAAATGTCATTATACTCCGTCTCCAAAAAAGACACTAAAGTCAATAGAAGTACCATATTGCAATGGTTTATGTATTGACAGTCAAAGCGTTCAGCAAATGTCTTTAGCAGGGGCGGCTCTCCTATCCAATCCACCAAAATAAAATTAGTAGTCGCAATATTTCTTTTTTCATTAATGAACAATAAATATCAATTACATTTTTATCTGTCTCTCTTATAGTAAAGCGTTACTAACCCTTGAGTGAATGACTAACCTATGAACCGACATTGTTTACGAAGTTCAGTTCTGAATTCAATGAGTGCGAAAGAGAAATTACGGCGCGACACGTGAAACAAAAGATTAGTATGAGAAAATTAGTAAGATTTGAATGATGGTGCGACGACTACCTGATTCTGCACTCCGCCTCCATGCGCTGTTGCCGGTGTTATTGTTGTGTTGTAAACAATGATATTATGTAAAAATCAATATTATTAACTGCCTCCGTGGCCGAACGGTTACCATGCCCGACTGCCACGCAGAGGTCCCAGGTTCGATTCCCGGGCCGAGAGAAATAGTTGTATGGCCTACAATTATTTCTCTCGTGAGTTTGGGTGTAATTTGTGGTTGTCTATGTGTGTGTCCATGGCACCCGCGACACAGGGTTTCCCTAGTGCGGGGCTATGTTGAGTGTGTGCGTTATTTATTTATTTATTTATTCTATCATGAAGCGTAGTATTGTTCAGTGGCGTTGTTCAAAATAAACTAACACTAAAATCTTCCACGAGCCGCCTCTGGTCTTTAGGATATTGAGATTGAGATACAGGAGACCCTCATCCAACGCATCAGGGATGTGCACCGCTTGCGCATGATTGCATGGAAGCAATCTACGCGTGCTACGGTAAACATCCCCGATTGTGAGAAGCGAGGCAACCCCGACAGCACCCTAAATGCATAATGAGAAGCAATTAATAATTTCGAAATATTTGCTCTAAACAAAATAGTAGGCTCTTTTGCGTTCACGTTATTTATATCTTGTGTTATTAATTTTATGCGGAGGGAGAAAAAAAAATTCAAAACAAGCGCAGCTATTTTTATTAACATGGACTTAAGTAACGCCTGACTGATTCTGTTAAAAATTTTAGTTTTTTAAACTGTTGGTGTCATTACAGCTTCTAAGTGACGGGGTGAGGGGTGGAGTCGAGGATGCTCAGGAAACAAAGTCTAACGCGGTGAGAAATGTGTTTATTTTAAATAGTTTTACTATTTTTAAACTGATTAACTAACGGATTAACGCCAGGTTTAAATCGGGTAGAAGCCCATTAATGCCCAAAATCGATGGCAAAAACTAAATATTGTTGTAAATCGAGTTTTCTTCAAATTTTATGATATTATTACGAAATCTTTATTGCTTTGTGATCTAGACGTTTCGAGTTGCGTTCCTATTCTAGAAATAAATCGTTCTTCAAGTATAACTTGAATCGATTTGGGATTGCAAGATATTGTTTGAAGTTCTCTTTTTCGCCTAAAAAAGGTTTTTTAACATCGAAATTTATAATAAGTATGGAATTATACTAAATTCCGTATTCGCCATTTTCGCCCACGATTTTGGACATAAGTGGGTTAAAACCTAAAAATTTTGGGTAAAAACCCTGGCGGGTTGATTTAACCGACAGCAAGGACAATTAACAAGATATTTTCTAAAGAAGATGACTGAAGCACGTCAATTATCAATTATTATAAGTTTTTCTTATCAATGTTTTAATTTTGATGGAAAATTTTTGTCCTATTAAAACATACAGAAAGAAATATATATATATGCTATGCAGTCCTAGTTTCAGAACATTTTTGTTTGCAAGTTGAGATGACCGCTAGCTCCGTCTCTTATTTTGCTGAATTTTTTTGTGAAAACCTTTTGTTTATATCACTTTATTAAACAGTCCTTAAACACCATAGCTTGACAAGAACGAGCAAAGTGCAGGCAACTGTTGTCAGTAACGACCACTTTTGCCTGCACGGAAAAAGAACCCTTAAAGCGGGACTGCGTCGAGTTTGCTGATAATATCACTGGTCACATATACCAGAACGTAGTATATATATCTATATATATAAAAATTGGCGGGAATGGGGATTGTCTGACTCTTATAAGTCATACTCGTCCAGCAATCCTTTACTTCCCGGCCTCTGCAATAATGTACTATATTTAAATAATTGTATAAGTAAATTAATTTTTCACCTCACTAGCTCGGAAAGGTTTTTGGAATTCGAACTTGACGATGGACTGTGGTGCATCTAACTTTTTCTTTCGATAAAAAAAGATAATGACACGTTCAACTACACGATTTGTCGTACATTATTGATGTAATATAAATCCGTTTGTATATTTTATTCTTATTATTTTGACATTAAATTGACAACGATAACTAATTTTACCATTACCATGTTCCTCGCTATAGTGAGGTGAAAAGTTGTGTGTTTCGCTCGGCAGCGAAGTTGTTTTGCGTCTCGTGACTTGAAACCCTCGCTACGCTTAGGATTCTATTTCTGAACCATTCGCTTCGCTCGTGGTTCATTCTTAGACTCCTTCGCTTGCTCAGGCTTCAATACTCGCGTCAAACAACAACTTTGCATAACAAATAATTATTATAATAATGTATTATTTTCACGCTCCCAGGACATGGAAGATAAGACGAGATACTAAGTATGTAGGTGTTAGTTAAGTACCTAATGGTTTTAATGTATGTGTGTAAATTCTAAATCTATAATATATAAAAGAAACACTAATATTTAAGTCACTAAATTTAGTACAGATGCACTAACACTAACTTGATTTGTTCTTTAAAAATGATTAACTTATACATTGTATTGTTCATGGCGAAGGGTTTACATAGTTCTTCTCCTTACTAACTGCAGTAGTTAGGCATAGGCATTTAGTTTTCAGGGTCACGTATTTATGTTTAGTACTCGTAAAAATATTCATTGGAAGAAATTGGGACACCAAACACATTTGGTGTCTCAATTTCTTGGCGCGTACTAAGAAGGTGTTGCAGCGAGTAAAAAATACGCGTGCGCGCTTCTATTTCGATAGTTTCTTTTATGTATTTTTGCCTTCGTCGAATAAATGATTTTTCTTTTCTATTCTATCTACACCTGGTTGCACCATCAGATCAAGGTTACCTGGCATCTGATTTGATGTAAATGAGATCCCTGGTCTAAGTGAGAAAAGAGCTGATGATCCCTGTACAGATGTTCATTAAACAGCTAAGAACCAACCCTATTAAATTAGCCTCCAAATAAAAAAAAAATCTCTTTGAAATCAGTCCGTCCCGTCCGTTTGGAACCTAAAATGTCACAAGCAGACTGATACACATACAAAGGCTTTCAACTCCCTCCTTTTTGCTGTTGATGTTAAAAAACCATCGAGTGTATAACCAGAAATAGAGACGAAATGTCACCGGCCAAAACAGGTCCGCTGTGGAAGGGTTAATTTGTTTGAAAACTATTCTGCTATATCATTACTGTGACAACTGCGCTCCGATTGGCCAGCCCGGATTCGAAACAATTGACGGGTGTCGTCAATTGTTTCTCTTCAAATCGACCAGTTTAATTGAGCTTTGCTATAAAGGACGAAAATGGTAAAATTACATATTTAATTCCCAATGAAATTTGATTCCGTTTGTTTTGTAATTAGATATTTTGCTGTTTTTCCCCACATCACCGAATGGAACAGCACGCCATTGTTACGGATGTTATCTTTATTACAATAAATACAGAATATTTTTGGAATATACGGAGATGTGCACACAGATCAGTTGTTGGCGCTGTCTATATTTCAGTGTTAACGAGAATTGATATTTCGACGCCTCCTACGTAAAGTATCGTATGTCGAAATTGCCAAGTTTAGAGGGGAGTGTTTTAAAGTTCTCCGTTTCATTCGGCAAAGCTTGTTACTCACATAGAGTGATCATCTAATAGATCATCTAACCGATATCTAGGATTTTATGATACTCAACGTGTGTAACGAGATTTGCCGAATAAAAGTGAGAAATCTAAAGTAACGTGTTATGCTTATTTCAGTGAATTCAGAACTTTAAAAGGCTCCCCTGCAAACTTGGCAATTTTGACATACGATACTTTACGTGGGAGGGGTCGATTTATTAGTGACGCATTACTGATGAGTTACCAGGAATGTATAGGCCCTTATTTCGTCTCTATTTCTGGTTATATGTTCGATGTAAAAAATAAACGTTGACGGTTGAAGGAGAATTAGATCAATAATTTAGAAAACTAGGATCTTACGTCTTACCTAATTGTAACTTCTTCTTCTTCATGTGTCATCTTCTAATGAAGGTTGGCGATCTGACCCTTGGACACTGCAGCTCTGAATAATCGAGATCAGGTGTTCCTATTTTATACAAAAATATAAGACAATATCATATACGTTTCTCTGATCCCAAAGTAAATAGCTAAAGCACTTTTGTTATGGAAATCGGAAACAAACACCCAGACCACAAGACCACAGGCAATATAGAAAAGTTTAGTTTTCTACACTGATCCGGCCGGGGATCGAACCCGGGATATCAGAGATAGCAAGCCACACGACCACGGAGGCCGTCCCATTGAACTGGCGCTAATTTCTGAGTCAGGGCATTCTCCTTCTTCCTTTCCTTGTATTTTAGGTTTCATAGGGTCGTATTCCAGAACTCTACTCAATGCTTAAGTCAGGTTTTGAGCAGACTTGAGTATGATTTCAAACACTGGAAATACGACCCTAATGGCAAGGACTTGAGTGTGATTTCTAGTGCTTTGAATCATACTCAAGTTTTGAGCATTGAGTAGAGTTCTAGAATACGACCCTCAGTGTATGACCCAGATATTCCAGTTTCCTTCTGTTGATGGCATTTAACACTTCTTGCTTTCTACAAACACGTTGCAGCACACTATAATTCATGACTTTGACTCTCCGCTCTCAACATTCTCCTAAAGACCCACATTTCGAAGGATTCCACTTTCACTAATTGTAACAAAAATGTCAGATAGTAAGGAGAGCAACCAACAAGATTCCCATCGGCTTATCTAGATACTTTATCATTCTAAGCATAAAAGAAGTGATTTTATAATAAACAGCAGAATTTTCTTATATTATTTCGTTCATCTAACGTACAACTATACATATATTTGCATTCCCCACACCCAGATTGGGGATGTCCTTGAAAAAGGCCAGGTTAAAACAGCTAATACCAAGAATAAAAGGCCATGTATGAAAAGACTGGTGGGAGTTGAGGAGGTTTGTCAGCAGTGTCGTAGTTAGAGGTCCTTGGTCGCTACCACGGAATAAAAAAACAATGGAAGTGGCATAAGCCTCGGTTACTATGAGAACCGATGTCGCCAAAACTCACACATTCTTAACTTGAAACAGCACAATAAGGCATTTTTCTACGATTTTATACAATTCACGCAAAAGAATTGACCATACCGTACAAAGCGGAAATGGCGGACGAGCTCGCATAGGTCCTAAGAGACCTATGATTGACACGCGTGTGAGGCTAAAGGCCCATTTAGATGGAGAGAGTTTCTCGTCTCGAAGATACGATTATCGAAAAAATATAAAAAACTTTCCTCGTCTAAACTATCGCGATTATCGCCCTTCCACGTGACCGATAATCGCATCGCCTTTGAATATTGAACGTCTCCGTGTAACCAGAACTTGAAAGCAAAAATCGTATTTCGAGTTTTTATGCCAGCCGTTTCTACCATGAGCGCAGTGCGCGAGGGTGTTTTGATTATCACTGCTTTTCTAAGACAAGAATTAATGAAACAAGAGCGAAAAAAATTTTGGCTTAAGAATACTTATAAAATTTAAAAAAAATGATAAAAAAATTCTATTTCATTATCATTACAGTGCAATGAACTTAATATTATCAGCAGTACCAAATTTGAATGATTTTTGCGCCATTTCAATATATCCATAATCAATACCGCAGTAATCGAATGGCAATTTGTACGATAATCGTATGAACTTGAAAAAATGTCATACGAGATCGTGTTTAGACAAGTCGAAAACTCGTAAGCAAGAATCTCCTTACTACATATTTCTCTGTGTAAACAGTCGAGGAGGCGATTAAGTTGCTTGCGAATCTCGTATGATATAATCGTAGGCGAGATTTTAGTTCTTGCCTGAATGACAAACATTATGATACGATAATCTTATGGCGATTATTGCTTACGATAATCGCGTACGAATTTTCGTCACGAAGCGTGTGATAAACTCTCTCCATCTAAATGGGCCTTAATTAACCACTTCTACTGTATTTTTTGTTCTGTGGTCGCTACCACCCCCGGTGGGAGTGTGTAATCAGGCCATGCGTCCGGTACGTCCGAAAGAATTACTGTCATATATATAATACTGTTATGTTACAATCGTAGCGAAGATAATCATGCGAGCTCATATTCTTCTTCTCTATCTATCTTCAGTTCACCTGCTGCTTCTGATGTTACAGCATAATTTGTAAATAGAATTTGACTTACAGCTAAGAAAAGCAGACATTGTAATACTAATTGTTTAAGCTTTTATTTGTAACATTGAAATCTGAAGTCGAAAGCGTGATAAATAAGTAATTTACAATTAGTGGAATGGAAATAATTGGGACTCTATAGCGTTAAAAAGTTCTACTTTGAAAATAATTAAGTGTAATTGAGTTACAATTTTATAGCATTTACACCTTGCCCGTACACAGGTTTTGACGAGAGATAAAGCAATGAGTGTTGCTATACACAAATTGCATTTATGTCGTGATAAATAGACATTAGGGATGTCTCAGATGCGTCAGCAACCGCGGATTGTAGTAATTTTAAAATCTGCTTCCGCATGCGACACCCGAATCAATCGATGCAGAGTTTTTGCGGATGCGGATGTTTTACAAGTCACCACAAGATCGTTGAGAGCAGGCCGTACTCAAAGCGCGTAACGATGACTAGTACAGTCAGTCAAGGACCGAGAATTCGTAACAACAACCTGTCAATTTTCTAAACAAAAATTATTCAGTTTACATTGACTTACGAACTTTTTCTTTCAAGATAGCCCAGTTCATCTTTCCACGACATCTTTGATCTTCCATCTCTTTTAAATTAATGATAATTCGGTGATCACCTAATCGACAATGATCCACTTTTTTAATAATATCAAGTGACAGGACGGACAAGTCGTACGCCTTATGGTAAGCTACACGCCTGTCCATAACAGTTGAATTGCCACTAGAACTTTAAATCGCAAAAATTTGAGGGGCACTGCCACTGCGGCCGTCACTCTGAGACATAAGTTGACAAGTCCCATGTGCCTGTAATTTCACCAGCACCCTTACCCTTCTAAATCGGAACACAGTAATGCTGACATCACTGCCTCTGTGGCCGAACGGTTGCCATGCAGAGGTCCCAGGTTCGATTCCCGGGCCGGGAGAAATATTTGTATGGCCTACATTTATTTCTCTCGTGAGTTTGGGTGTCATTTGTGGTTGTCTATGTGTGTGTCCATGGCACCTGCGACTCAGGATTTCACTAGTCACATATCCCCATATGTTGAGTGTGTGTGTTATTTTATTTTTATTTTTTTACTGATTGGGGCGGCAGAAATAGGATAGAGCAGATTTCAACGGTGAATTATTCGCATCCGCATCCGTGTCTACACATGTCGTTATAATTCGCATCTGCGGCATCCCTATTGGTCATTATTAGAATTCAACGACTACTTTTTTTTTTAAAGAAAGAAAGAAAGAAAGATAGAAACATTTATTCAGTACCTTTAAATTGTATGTACATAAAAATAAATTAAAACTAAAATTACTGATACTGAATGGAAAATTTTGTACTCTTGCATGTAATTTCAACTTATTATTATTTTTATCTAATAGTTAATTATTTGTGCCAGAATATTAATTTAGTTTCTTGTATTAAGTTTTATAACGGGCAATGGCAGAATAACCTGGGTTTAGTAGTGTAGTCCTCAGACGCTGTGTGCTAGACCCTTATGGCATGCCTTTGTTTCGTCAATATTTGTTACTATTTTATTATGTTATTTTCTATGATAATTTGTAGTTTGTGGGAATTTGCATGAATAAAAAGTAGTTTTTTTTACATATTTATTAGCAAACTAAATAAAGAATTCCATACCATAGTTTCGTCTAAATCTTTTAGAGTCCCAAATAGTTATGAGTTTTTTTACATTAGAAAATGCAAGTTTTCGACTTCAACGTAATTAAAAAAAAAACCTAACGTCTAATTAATTATTTTAATATTTCAGTTAAAACCTACATCGGCCAGCCCCTTGACGAATGCCACATTCATATCAAAGATAAAAGACGTGCCGGAAAACCCAGAAGAAGAAAAACTACTAAAGAAGTAGCAATTTTCATAAAAGGCTACACTGCCCCAAAAATTATAAATTTTTTGACAAATTTTAATTCAAATGCGTAGAGTAGCATGTTTATATTCACATTTGGTAGATGTTTTTAGAGACCAGATAAATAAAAATAAGTAATAATCAAATTTTAACGAAAACTTGCCCATATTATCACGTCAGTCTGTCACATTTCGCCTCCGAACAAAAACCTTTAAAAAAGGATGTTAGCGATGTGGCAGGGTGTGCGACGCACACGAGTGCAGGGTCTTAGGGGGTGCCGAGCGCCGTGACGCCCCCAAAGAGCCTGCATCTGCAGGCTCATGCACCATTTGCATTTGAAAACGTAACTGTAAGTACTCCATCCTTTTTTTGTATATATAATATCATGTGACGTGAAGAACAAGTCGTACTCCGGATGGTAAGCGACACGCCTGTTCATAACAGTTGCAGTACCACTCAGAACTTTAAATCGCAAAGATTGAGGGACATTGACAAGTCTGCGTAGTAAGGTGTAAGATTTTGGTTCCTATTGGTTAGGAGCAACAATAATATCAAATTATTACAACATTTTTGTTTCTCTGGTCAATATTTTTGGGGCATCTTTACAATGCATGATGTTTAATCGTTTATTACTCGTAAGATTGTAGTAAAAAATATATAGTTTAATAGTATTTAATACGGCATTTGTTGCGATTTTTAACAATTTTTAAATGTTTATAATATAAGAAATAGTACTTATTTAAAGTTTCAATATGGCAACATTATTTCCCGCCAATTTTTGACAGCTATTTTTTTTTTAATCCAGAAAAATCAACGCCATCACAAGGAATAAATGTAATTTATTTGAATTTTTATTTTGAAATTCTGTTCTTTTTTTCTTCTGTTCTAATATTTTAATGATGTACAGTTAAATATGAACCACCATCATAATGTGGAATTGTAAAGAACTATATTGACAACGCGTGCATTTATTTAGTAATTATAGCTCTTTTATTGAAAAAAAGGTTTCGCTGTGTCCGTTACCGTGGTTACCTCAACGATAACCGAAACGCAAAATATGGAAGTCCTCAACAAAACGTACAACGTTACATCTGTGTGTTAAGTTCTTCTGAAATCTGTTAATGGAAAGTGGTTGAAACTCAATTAACTTCATCTCCTAATTTGGCCCCCTTAAAGGTGAAATATCTTCCTCAAAGAAACAATTGCAATTAGCGTGTTCAAATGTCTTAATTACAAGTTTGAATAAAATAAATTCGTTAGGTCTTTCAAATTATAATAGCGGCCTGTCTAATTCTGGAAATAAAATCATATTTAAAAGAAACTGTAATGACTAAGTAGTATGTCACCGGACTGATATTTACAACTGTCAGTTTCTTCACGTTGAGTGACATCGTATGGATGTGGTCGACATTAAGTTAGTTCACGTAATATCAAATGTACTGATAAGAGATTCACTACTTGATTACAAAAAATAAAGTAGATAATTTCTTCATCAAATGCCACGCGAGAAAATGGTAAAACTGACAGAAAAGATCCGAGATAAATGGCACGTTTCACAAGAAACATAATTTGTGTCTGTGGTACGTATTAATTAACTCATTTTTTTGTTATAGCTTAACGTCATGCTTTTTGACCGTAGCAGTATAACAAATAAAACCCTCTGATCTTTCGTCACGTCTCAAACCCACGGCACCATTCAACTTCTATTAACTCTGTTTAAGGCTTCTGTAGTTTATTTTGACATAATAATTACACTGAATATATTTTATTCAATTATGTAACACTTGACCTCCATAACTTCAAATTGGAATATCTTTACTTCCAAACTTCTCAGAATAGTAAACCCAAAACAAAATTTGTTCAAGAATTTCATCTCTATATTTTCACATATTTTTCGTAAACTGAAGCATACAAATTATGTCAACAAAATTTTATATGGGAGTTTGTCATTGTCCTCTGAATGGAACTAGTGTAGGGTGTCTGAACCGTTTTGTAGTCATGACCTCCTTCCAAAATTTCAAAGAGTCCATTGACCCTTTCCAAAAATGTGAAGATGAAAAGCCCCCAGGTTGCATTAACACGCGTCTCCCTCGCTTCAATTTTTTTTTTATGACATCAAGTGACGGGACGAACAAGTCGTGCGCTTACAGTGCCACTCAGAGCTTTAAATTTCAAAGATCTGAGGGGCACTACCACTGCGCCCGTCACACTTAGACAGACTAAGTTGACAAGTCCCAAATGCCTGTAATTTCACCAAAAAGAAAAATAGATAATGGATGGCCGTCGGAAGATATTTTCTATATCAATTTTTATATTATTTTAGGTCAGCTCGCCATGGACCCCCGGTGTTCATTACACGGACCCCACAGGTTAATAATCTCAGTATAGAGTACTAAATACTAAAAAACCGACCTCAAAAGTCATTCATCCCCTAGTTTGCCACCCTTAGAGGTGAATATTTTCTTCAAATTTAAAAGAATCTTCTCCTTTTTTTGAAGTCGGTGTAAAAGCCCCGTACTACTGAGTTACCCTCTTTTCAACAAAAAAGAATCATAAAAAACAGTTCATAAATGTTGGAGTCATCGCGTAACGTGCTTACACACAGTCGAATTGCAAACCTCCTTTGTTGAAGTCGGTTTAACAGTCAATATTAAAGCCACTATTTCAGGGTTCAAAACTTAACTGATCATCGTTAAATAATCAAAGTCAATAATTTACCTTCATTAAATATTGACAATGTTTAGTTACATACTTCAACGTAATTTTTAAAATTTAATTAATTGTTTTCTAGTTATTACTTATAGGCGTATATTCATTATGATCGGAAACAGAATATTTACAAAATCATTATCTTAGTGCCTTAAAAATCTATTAATAAAAATCAGACAGTGATATTACTTGTAAAGATGACAAGAACTGCAAAATGCCTACTGCACTTTAATAATTTACATAAAAGCTAGAACGGTCATCTATAAAATGTCAATTTGTAACACAATGGAAAATAACATTCAATTACCGGAATATTGTGCGTTATTTAGATAATAATGTCACGAATTTTAAAAAGTATTTTTTATGGAAACTGATTAAGGCCCGGCGCCCACTGGTGCGGGACGGCACAGCAGGGAATTTTTAGATGACGTATAGTAATACCTTAATGTTATGACATTGTAGTTTAAATTTCAATTACAATGGTCGTAGCTACAAATACAATGTTTCTGTAAGCTTAGGGATACCGAGCCAGAAACTTCGCGAACGCCTCGGCACCCTTCGGGATGCTTCTTGGTATATAGTTTTTATTCTTCTTCAGCAAGATTAACATTTTTAAATATACAACTGGTAATAAACCAACTTGCAACGTTACGACTGATCTGAAGAGAGGCTAGGCGCGAACACGATCTAGCGACGGTATGCTTCGGCAAACCGAAGGATTCCTTCCTATGCTGCCCCGCCAGTGGGCGGCGGGCCTATATAGATATTTTTTTAATTTAATTTTTAAAGCCTTTTTTGGCTGGTGTCAAATATAATAAAATTCCATTCGATGTGAAAATATTACATATTTTTTTTTATTTTGTCAATATCCCATAAATGTTACATTTTTAATTTCGTCCTTTTATTATTGAGTATTCGATATGCTTAAACAATGACATTTTGTAATACGTGAAACGTAAGGAAATGGAATGTAAAAGAAATGAGCAGCTTGATTTTGATTGCCTCTCCCGATCGGATACTGCATTTTTTCCGAGTCGAGGCCGATTTAACTCACAAATTAGAAAGATATAGTAGGAATCGGGTTCATCTTCTCGCTTAGAAACTCATCTGGGGGTCTACTATCGATCTTCGTCCGACATCCGTCCGAAACAATTACAGCAATACTTGACCAAATGAAAAGACGCGTGATGCGAATGAAGCTTCAAACTTGTCTTTTAATTTTGTCGAATATTACTTATTTGACAGTAATTGTTTCGGACGGAGGTCGAGAATAGACCCCCTGATTTCGAGACTCGGATGGGCTACCCTTTGGTTTGTATTAAAATCAGCCTGCAGAATGAAGAATCATTATTGATTCCTTTGTTACAGCGGTGTATTAGTTTTGTTACCGTACAAAATCGACGCCTTACTGTCTCAAACTCGTATCTTATAAAGAGTAATTATTCAGGAGATGGCAAAACTTTTATTTATTTTAAATTTCTTATCAAGCGTGTGAATTTGGATACATCACTTTAAACGAGGCGTGAAGAGGCATATTGTAGGCAGGCAGGGTGGAGGTGGCTAGTGCAGTGAGGGTTTCATCGCTGCACTAGGTTCCTTCGCGTTTGGATACCACTTTCCACTTAACATCAGGTGGAGTGGAGTCATTTGCCTGTCATGTATAAAAAAAAAAGGTAAAAGCCAGTGATGTGAAAGAAATGTACTGCGAAATCGGCCTGTAAAATTATATATACAATCTATTTTTTGCATTTCAGTACTTTGTGCTTTAAGATACGAGATCGAGAAAGTCAGGCGACGAAAACTGATCTATCGACACTGTAATGTTACTGTCTGATTTTAAAGACGTTTAACGTCAAAAAATTCCAATAACTGTGCCTTAAACGATCAATTTTTACAAAAATTACAGGTGCTTGTCTATTATAATTGTTATAAGGTGCTTTTCGCTCCCAGGTATGTTTATCGACCCAAATGTTAACTAAGTGTAAAGATATAATATAGGTACCTACATGATGTTGCAAAAAGTTAATAAATTCAACTTTAAGCGTCGTAAAGCACCGGCACGCTATGATGGCCGTTTTGACGTTCGTCCGCTTATCAAGTTTCGTATTAATTCATCAGTAATTGATGCACGTATTGTTGTCGATAGTGACGTGCAGTAAAATTTATGGAATGTATAATTTTACGACACAACTCGGCATTTGTTTATCGAAAATCGAAATTTGAAACAATAAAATCTAATACGATCGTCACTTACGGGATTGCTGTCCAGCACAACTTCTACTCCGGCAAACTCGCGTCAAAGCTCGGTGTAAAACAAAGTAGTTTCGAATTGACGATATATTAAATAAACATTTTTATTTTCGTTCTATTAAAACTTTTTAATCAGCTGCCCCTTGCAATAATAGTTATAAATCTAAAAACTTATAGATGCGACTCGCATTTGATTATATTTTTTTCGATAATTTATTGAGATTCGACCTCACTATTATAATCTGTCAAAACGGTCATCATAGCGTGCCGGCACTATAGTCGTCATTAATTCTTGAATACATGCATTATAATTGTTTATTTAATAAGTATCTTAGTTTTTTTTTTGTTCTATTCGTCCAAAAAGGACAGGCTAGGGTTAAAGACTACTACTGCTTCGTCTTCAGCGGTGAGTTACTGATATAGTACGAGAAGTAAACGTCTTTAGTAAGGTTATTATCTTAGTTATTATTGGTTTAATTCTATCGACTAATTTTACTTCAAAATGCCAAATGTACACGTCAAATGACGGTTTGATACGTAGTCTCCTTGTTGGGCCATATCCAGGGCGAGAATTTCTGCGATCTGCTATAGGAAAGATCCCAGGAAAGAAAGCTCCAGTATGACAGTGGCGAAAATTGTTCAACGACAATAAGGTGACAGGTCTTTGTAAGAATGCGAACGATACACGACTGCGAAGGAAGATGTCTAGCATTTTGATGTAAAATTATTATAAAAAAATAATTTATCTACAATATTTTTTAGAAAATTAATTATAGTAAGAAGTTTAAGTTACACAATTTTCTAATGCACTATTCAAAATTACACTAAAAACGGCACCATTATAGTTGTTGTTATACGTTTTTGTAGCATCGTGTAAAGGCTGGTATGTAAAATTTGGAACGTTCGGTTTTTAATATTGTCCTTATAAAAAATGTGGAATGTTCACATTGGCACATTAGCACTGAACAAAAGCACCCAAATTATAGCAATTCGTTTTTAAAAACACTGGTCGGCTATTTTATTTTTTATTTTAAGTCTCCATAAGTTGATATTGCGTTCTCGTAAATCTCACAAATTGTTTTTACATTTGTAAAACTTTCATTTAAATTAATGTCAAACTGTTACAGTTTTCTAAATTTTTAACCGTTTCTGCTTTATCACAATATTAATAAACAGCGTTTTGTTATAATTTCGTCCTTTTCTTTAAAAGTTGAATAGAGTAACAAAGTTTACAAAGTATATTATATATATTTTTTTTTATATCAAATAACGGGACGAACAAGTCGCGTTAGGCGGTGGTAAGCAACACTCCTGTCCAAAAAAAGTCTGATTTTAAAAAGGCTACTTTATATCAATTTACAATTTTTTAAATGTAAACGTTATTTTTTTGTAACACTAAATGTGCCAATGTGATTAGTAAAAGAGCAAGGTTTACAGCAACGTCTTTCTATATACCATTGCCGCAATTTTTCGAGACAAACCGCAAAATGCCGATGAAGTCATCAGCTTCGTAGTATCACAATTTTATTAAAATGTTAAAATATGAGTGTCATTTGCGACTTTAAGGGTCGTATTCTAGAATTCTACTCAACGCTCAAGTTAGGATTTGAGTATGGTTTAAAGCACTCGAAATCATAATCTACTCCCTTCTATTAGGGTCGTATTTCCAGTGTTTGAAAGCATACTCAAGTCTGCTCAAATCCTGACTTGAGCATTGAGTAGAGTTCTGGAATACGACCCTAGATGGCCTGCTAATTGTAAATCCAGCACTTGCAAAATAGCGGCTCGGAGAAAAACACGAGAAACATATATTTAGATTGAGGTATTAAGCAATAACACGTGCCTTACCATGAACTCTTATTACTATTTAGTTTAGGATCTAATATAAATCGTTGTGAGACAGCGCTACATGAAGTGTATACAACCTATAATAAGAGATCATGGAAAGGCCCCAATTCCCTAGTGCGGGGCTTGGAGTGTGTGCAGTGAAGATCTGCCGTCCTCTAATAAAACGCAGCTAAGGACAAATGGTCAAATCGACCCCTCCTACGTAAAGTATCGTATGTCGAAATTGCCAAGTTTACAGGGAGGCATTTTAATGTTCTCCATTTTATTCGGTAAATCTCGTTAGTCAAATAGAGTGATCAGCTAATACATCATCTAACCGATATTTAGGATTTTATAATACTCTATGTGAATAGCTTTGTCGAATATAACTGAGAAATGCTAAAGTCACGTGTTGTGCTTATTTCAGTGAATTCAGAATATTTAAAAGGCTCCTCTGTAAACTTGGCAATTTCGACATACGATACTTTACGTCGGAGGGGTCGAAATATCCGTTTTAAATAGCAAATAATAGAGCACAAAATTCTCTTTTAAAAACATTTAAAATTAGTCAACGCGTTCGGCTTACCGGAACTTACCCAAACGATGCATAGCTAAAATATTATTAAGCAATTAAAATATTCTAAAACTGGGTTATAGTTTTTTATGATATCTCAAAGAAATATTTGGTAACTTTACGGCTGAGATATCCAAGCAATATAAATACATCTAGGTATCTAAAAATATGTTTCTCGCGTTTTTCTTCGGACCAGGGCAGAATTGTAGCCAGCCGTGGTGCAGATGTAATACGTTTCAAGTTTTATTTGCCGGCCTTAAAGTGCCTAATACACGGTTATTTGTAATGTACTAACAACCTCAGGACTATATTACTAACATCATAAACAATATATTTTGTTCCATGATTTTTAATAATATAGCAGTTTTTACTTGGATATAAAAATAAAATATTTAAATAGGTCGCTCTAACCGGTGTAATTCCGTGCGGCAACAAAATAAAGCCTAAATTAAAAAAAGGAAGGGGTGGGGATGACGCTTGCATGTTTGAACTTACTACCCCAATATTTATTTTGTGTTTATAAATTCAATTATTATTTTTTAATTACTCCATTAGTTTGTTACGGTTATTAATACAACACTTAGAAAAAATTCCTTCGATCCGGATTCGAACCGACGTCTTCTAGCCAAACGCTATGCCAACTAAGCCACAGACGTCCCAGCGGACCTTACCGAATTTTTCTGTGCTTGTAGTCGGATCTTTGTATTTGGTTTTCAACTACTTTTTAGTCTGGCACGGTTTGCTAGAAGACGTCGGTTTAAATCCGGCCGGATCGAAGGAATTTATTCTAAGTGTTCGCTATTTGTATTAATAATAACAAATTATTTTGTTTTGTATAAAATCATAGAACAAATCTTATTGTTTACGTTGTTAGTAATACAGTCCTGAGATGTTGTTAAAATTTTACAAATAACCTTGCATATATTCTAAATTATATGTATAATTTATAAACTAAACTGTACTTATAAAGAGCTATTGTACTTTAATAGAAAATAAGTTATTACAGTTGAAAAAGAACATTAAAATACGTATGCATATATATACGCTAAGAAAACTACGTATATTTTTATTATAGGTGAAATCTAAAAATGCTAAGTGTCTTTTTAGGCTTTCCATGTGGTATATTACGGTACCTTTATTATTCAAATGGACTCAGAAAGTTTGGATAGAATTGTACAATCTACACGTAAGAAACGAAACTATGTTTTCGGATTAAAATCGCGTATATTTGTTTTCTTTTTAAACAGACCAACGTTTCGGACTTTATACAAGTCTTAAAATCACGACTAGGGTTGCCAGGTCATAAAACCAATTAGCTAAACAGACCAGCCATTTTTTTGGCCGGACAATTGGCTAAAAAGGCTGGACACCCTACGGATTATGATCTGGCATTTATAAATAATATAATCAGTGTTTTTTATTATTAATCACCTATTACTGAAATGGTTATCTATCGAAATCCAAAACAAAACAAAACTTGGTCAAATATAAGAAACCTAACCAGAGCCTAAGTTTGTCCGATTTTATCCGGACGCCTGGCAACACTAGTCACGGCTGACTGACCATTAAACGGACATTTATAAAGTCTAACTACCTATTAGTATAGTAATATGTCATAATCAAATGCCATTAACGAATATTCTTAAAAAAACTAAGTCACAATGTCAGATTCATAATATTACAGACTTAGAATAATAACGCATAGAAATAATAACGCAAATTGAAGCGCTCCCAAAGGGCCTACACGGGCGGGTGGGCCTTCAGTGCTCAAGGTCAACTTGCACCGCGAACAGCTCAAGAATTTTAGCTAAAAATGACGAAATGTGCGGTAAATGAGTGTAAAAATACGTCAGACAAACATAAAATAGATACTAACATCACATTCCACAAGGAAGTAACGCGTTTCAACTTGTATTTTTATATAAATATCCACTAAAACCGAAAATTAACCTACTACTAAAACTAGCCTACATGAATTTGATTTTTGCCTCACTTGTGACAGTTCGTTTGATATGAAACTATCATTCTATGCGTTATTATTCTAAGATTACGGATAAATGTGGAGTTCTTAGGTTTCGCTTTTTTTACACATAAAAACGCGTATATTCGTTTTTTTTTTCAAACAAGGTCATCAATTTTTACGAATGAAGTCGCGAGCTAGTGTTAAATATTTATATGGAAAGTCTAAAACGAATACCAGTGTACGTTTTTAGTTTCACCCCGAATTTTGTCTTCCCAAAATGAATATTAATTTATTTAATACTGCAAAATCACAATTTTAGAGGAATTTATATAAGCTCGGAATATAGAGCTTGTTTTTTGACGCTATATTTGTAGTTCTTTTCAATAGAATCGCCATATAAATGTTAAGCTAAAATTATACGTTGACAAGGTGAATTTGAACCCTTTGAATTTCATAGAACTAATATTTTTCTAACAAGACCATTGTCGTCAAAGTCAATACAAGTGGCGCCATTTCAAAGTTCAAAAGTAATTTGCCACTGTTTTATTTTGTATTTTAACTATACATTAAACAAAAAACTCGAAAAATAATAATGAATTAATAATTCTGCTTGTAAATTAATATGATTGAAAATTATTTTGATTTGTTAAATTTCGCTGTTTCTATTGAATTGGACTATACAACGTTTGCATTTGAGAATATTTTGAATGATTATTTTGTTACAGAAATAGAATGAGTAATGAAGCTTTTCAATAATTTTTGTGTTTTATTTATACATCTCCACATTACCATCAAATATCCGTTACGTAAGAATATCAGTTACGTTACCATCAAATGTAGGATATTAGACACGACTCGCGCGAGAAGCGACACAAGCATGACGTCCCTTAACTGCACCGTTTGTGCACTGCATCCTATTCGTATTTGTTCGTATGTAATATCGCTTGTACACTTATAGATAATATGATCCTGTGACATTTCAGACCGTAATTTCTCGGATTCGGAACAGCAGCTTGATTTTGATTGCCTTACCGAGGTTTTTCCTTTGCCATTCCGAGTTGAGGCGCATAAATGCGATTCACACCTGGCCGATGGGAAACTTTCGACATTTCTAATCGGAACAATAGCTGATTCAACTCACAAATTAGAAAGATCTAGTAGGAATCAGGTTCATCTTCTCGCTCGGAAACCCATCTGATTTCGAGACTACCCGATCAATTACTGTCAAATAAGTAAAAATCGACAAAATTATAATCTCAGTACAGAGTACTAAAAAAACCGACCTCAAAAGTACGTGAAATTACGTCTATTTGCTAAGTTTCATTGAAATATCCCCTAGTTCGCCACTATACAGGGCTTGATACTGGAGATAATAAAAATAGGTTCTCACTACGACGCTACTCAAAGTATATCGAGAGAAAAACGCCTTGAATTGGAGAAATAGCAAAATCAACTAAATAATTGCTAAAAGTAATTGCTCCTAAATTAAAGTTAGGCGCTATTTATAAAAATGAATCTTCATGCGTGAACAGCCACCCTTTGAGGTGGATAATTTTCTTCAAAATTAAATGGGACCACTATGGAAATACCCCCTTTCCAACAAAAAAAGAATCATGAAAATCGGTTCACAAATACCGGAGTTATCGCGTAACATACATACAAATAAAAAGAACATACAGTCGAATTGAGAACCTCCTCCTTTTTTGAAGTCGGTTAAAAAGACAAGTGTCAAGTATGAAGCTTCATTCGCATCACGCATTGCTTATTTGGCAGTAATTGTTTCGGACGGATATCGAGAGTGGACCCCCCGATTTGAATCAGGACGCTGCTGATACGATCTTACTCCAGCATGACAATGGTAGAATTTTTTAATTTGGATTAGGTAGTCTGGTAAAAGTCGCTTTTAGACGCAAAAAGTACATTTAATGGTAAACATAAAAATGCCAAACAAGCATAATTGTTACCGTTTCGAACGGGCATCGCCTAAAAAAGCCGGACTTATTATTTGCAAACCTTTTCATAAAAAGTGCTATGGTACTATGTTGTGGATATTCCTCTGATTCGCATGAAGACTCCCTTCTATATTTATATGGCGAACGGCTTTGCAGTGGAATTCTTGGAATACTTGTTCCCCGAACGCTATTACTTGGGTTTTTTCAAGGCGGCAGTCAATAGGCATTATTTAGGTATGCATGCCCACGGAAGAAAAAAACAATGGAAGTGCCATCAGCCTCGATTGCTATCGGAACCGATGTCACTAACACGCACACAAACAAACGATAAATTGATCATATAGACAGGGTTAAATGTGTCACTTATCTCGGTATGAAAGTAGATTAACATTTTTCTTGGTCTATCCACATTGATTTTGTTTATAATAAGCTTAGTTGGGCAAGTTCTACCAGTATCCGCCAGCATGGCATTGGTTGACTTCATACTAAGTTATGCTCTACATTGTTATGGACTTACATACAATTCATACACAAACAGACTTGAAAATAAGCAAGTTAGATTTTTGTAATTTCTTGTAAACAATAAAACTAAAGAAATATGTAATGGAGACTACAATAAATTTTTTGTATCCTGTCATCAATAACTGTAACACAAGGTCAATGACCTCTGGTAAATTTGTAGCACCAAAAGTTAATAACTACTATGGAGATAGAACTCTAATGAAACGTATTCCATACTTACTAAACCTCAGGTTATTAGACTTGAACCTAAGAAAAGTAAATTTAAACATCTTGTGTTTCAGCATTTGTTGTCAAACTTAGAGTAGATTATTCATTGACCTATGAGATTGTTAACATACGTGTTAGGAAAAATATATGTGTTAGTAGTTTTAACATTAAGTATATAAAAGCGAGATTCATTTGATACCACAGTCAAACTGAAAACTCAGTTTTGTGGGACTATGTATTTATCTAAACTGTCATGTTTTTATATATGTTAAATAAAAAATACTTTCTAATTTAAAAAGATTTTTTTTTGTAAATGTAACAAATGGATTGTTAATATAGTTTAATCTTTACCCAGTCGCTTTATC